TACTGTAAAACAGTAAGTTAAGTTATAAGAAACATGAATAATAATAAATTAGTCTTAGTCATTTTCTATCTTCAAAACAGAATTAACCAAAAATATCCTGTTTTTTATTTTAATTTTAGCATAAATAAAATGTAATTGTTATAGATTCAGTTAGATATTTTTCATTTCCAAAAAAAGAAATACTTTAAAAAAAGTGGATTCAAGCTTGTGAAAGACCAAGCTGGATGAAAGACTCAAATATAAGTACAGGTACATATTATAACATTCAGACATATTAAATTATAACAAAATACAATTTATATTTTATGAATCTTTATGTAGCACGAGTGTGTTCAAAACATTTTGAACCATCAAATTATATTGAAAAATTGCCAATAAAAAAACTCCTTGGATGGTCTCCAAAACATTGCAGAGTTCTAAAATGTGATGCAGTTCCATCAATCGGCTTACATGTAATTAAAAGGAATGTATATAATTAATGTCATACACTAGCTAATAGCAATCTTTATTTTTCATTCTATAGTCTCAATCTGGTGTTAAAAAAACCTTGTCCCAGGAAAATAACTCCAAAAAATGGGCCGGAAAATACATCAAAAGTTACTCCGAAATATAGATTGAAAATTACACCATCTAAAAGTTCAATGATTATTTCACCTATTAAAGGTTGAAGAGTGGACACAAATAAAACTTTTTCTAGCAGAAAAAAACTATTTCATAACAACATSAAAATTATTACCATTTTCAATTGCCTTGATACAAAATTTAAATCTTGTTTCATATGTTTTATTAGACGGAACAGTCTTCATATATTGATGGAATTTCATATATGAACATAGATGAAGTAAACCAATCTGTTGGGATAAAAAGGTTTATAATAATTTATAATAATATATAATACATATAAATCATTATAATCATTAATTAATTATACATTTTAAATTATATTTTTATGTACCCATAKTTTGAATGATAAATTACATCAATTGCAGCTGAAATTAAATAGTGTTGAACAAGAAAATGTACATTTGAAATCCATAATTGGAGATTATGATGATAAATTTCCTGAAAAATCTGCAAAGTTATTATCAAACATTTTTAGCGAGACTCAGATAAAAATGATCATGAATCCAAAAGGTAAAGTGAAACAATGGTCACCTGAAGATATAGCATCATCAATCACATTGAGGAGTATATCGCCAAAAGCTTATTGTTATTTGCGTGATAAGTTGAATTATCCACTACCAGGTATTCTATAGCATAAATAAGTAAAATGAATAAACCATACAATTTTAAAAGTATAACTAAATAATGTATAAAATTATAAAAATGTATTAACTAAAATGTAATATTAAAGGATTAAGTACTTTGAGAAGATATGCACCAAACTTCAATATGGAACCCGGTGTTTTAACAAGTGTACTGCAATTGATAAAGAGTAAAGGTTTGTTAAAGTGTTAATTACTACAATGTAAAAAAAAATGTATGTACTTATACATTTATAAACTTTTTAATAACAACAAAATAAATATTAATAGTATTACCATTCATTAAATATACATGGTATTGCCACAGAATAAGTATTGCCTTGATTAATTGATTGTATTTTATTTAAAAATATGTTAGGAATAGACATGGCCACTGAACATAAACTTACTATTTTATCATAGATTATAATGTATTCATATTATATATTAATTTCTAGGTGGCTGCTCAAAATGAATACTCACCAGATGAAGAATTTTAAGATCACAGTCTTACATACATGTTAGGTTATATAGCAAACAAATTCCAACACAAACATCCTGATTTAGTTGATACAAATACCAATAATTTGAATGACTGGATCAAAACAAAGTCATTTGGTACATTAACTAAACCATCAGCTAAATTAATAAGCGTAGGAAGAATTATTGAAGGTTTATTTAAAAAAAATGAATGGCAAAGGTAATACCATCATAACATTTTTGTATAAGACAAAGACACTTAGGTAATAAAAGTATTTGTATTTTTTAGATGACATTAAAAAAACAGCAGGACTTATATCTGAATTAAGGACAATGACAAAAGATACATGTCGACAATCAACATACATAATACCAGATGAGGTCCTGAATTCAATTATTCAAACAAGAATATTCTTTAGAATTAGGGAAATAAATAATAAACAAAACCAAAAACTACATACCATCAAACAACAAAAGAAAAAAAAATACAGAAATTTGTAAAATAATAATATCTAATAATATTTTTATATTATGTAATATTATTATTATTTGTAATAATATTTATTGTACTGTTATAATGCAGAACGTGTGACGTCACTTGACTTTATTTTTATTGCCTACTCAATGCCCCTTACAAAATATGCGCACTGTTATCAGTCGAGCATACTTCTTATTTATTTTACTACGCCTATACCTACCCATTTATATGAAATAATGATTTATAATTTATTGACAATTTATAACTCATGCTGATTTATTTGCATTGTTTTTTGAAGTATTGTGTTTTTCTATGTAGTTGTATATTTAAATTTAATAAGTAAGATTAATGAATATTAACTTAAAAATCTTGAATGTTTGACGCTATCAAACAAATAAATCTATTATAATAAATTAATATATGGTTAATTAAATGTTATTTCTTTTTGTTTTACAATGTTAAAATAATATTGATACATTAACTTTATAGTTTTATACTCAAAAATAGGTACCTATATGGGTACAGATTACAGTGTTATTAGTTTAATGCAAGAGACTCATAATCTATATACCACCTTAGTTATATTAATATTATGTTATAATGTTATAAATAAAACTAGATGCTTCATTTGAATGAAATACCCAACAATCAATATTATTTCAATTAAATGGCATTAATATCCAACTGTGTAATTACAATTATATTCCTTTCAAAAATGTTTAATATAATATATTACTTATTAATAGGTAACTAGGTACTTAGTAAAGAAAACATATATGATATTCCTAGTTTTTAGTTTCAATTGAATGTATTAAGTATGCTCAATTAAATGTTATCTTTTACAACGCATTTATYAATCAATGAATAATATCATATTAAACAGAAAAATAAAAATTTTAATATAATATAATATTAAATTMGCCGGCTGTCAGCCATTGATAATATAATTTTTTGTTTATTCCAAGCTGAATGGATATGATATTTTTGTTCAATATTATTGATAGCGATTTATTTTTCAATAATTCTTCAGATATTAATTTATTAGACATTCAATATTTAACTCGTCAATTTTTAAGTAATGATTTAATAATAAATATTATAATATGCATATATTATTAATTATTATAATGATGAATGATTTTTCAAAATAAATCATAAAGGGTTTTTATTTAACCATCATCAATACAAATTTAAAATTTACATTTAAGAATTATAGTATTAGTAATTTCAGATAAAATAATGCTAAGATCTCACACGGAGGAAATTATGATGATTCACTGCCTTCAAGCAGTTCATATGATGGCAAGATATAACAGAAGAATAATGATATCATAAACTTAGTGATTGCATTTAAAACTCTCTCTGTTGACTTTTATGCAATAGTAAGAACAATTTCCAAGAGCAATGGATCATTATTTTAAAACTACTGGCAGATCTTTGAACAATACACTTGGTCAAAGTAAAGAGCCTATTAGAATCATCATGTGTCCAATTTTTATATAGTTTAGTGGTCTTTTTTATACTAGGGATATTATATGACGTATTATACTATCATGTTTAAAAAAATAGAATTTTGTTCTGAAATAAAAATGTTTTATACCTATATTGACCGACATTAACTAATAGTGGTATTTGTAATCAAAATTCCATGTTTTTGACATTATATATTATACAATGGATAGCAGGAATTATTTTATTTTTTCGGATGGCAAACCCAGGAATTTATTATCCATTACATCTGTGTAGTAGGACAGCCCAAGTGTTACCTCTTTTTACCCAGGGATTTTCACACTGTCTAATATAATGATTGAAAAATTAAAGTATATTAAATTATTATGTATATTTTAATGAAGGAGCGTCATATTTTACTTTTTGTATACTTATTATAAGTACTTAATGTTTCGCTAAATAACAATTAGCATTTTAAACAATTAAAGAAACTTATATTGTTGTCGATTCATATATCAACTTGAGAATGAATACTTGATGGTTTTAGTTTTAAATATGTTTTTACTAACATAAACTGAACTAAAAAAATACAAAACTTAGCATATAAAGTAGTAATTATTGTGATGGTGAACAGTCTATCAGTCATTTTTTATAACATACATATAGATATAGAATACAATTTAAAGATTGAACATTTTCAAATTTCTTAAAAATAACTTAAAACTTGTCTAAAATATCTAAATATTTTGAAAATATTTCTATAGATAGAAAAATATGATAAATAATCAAACAATACTGAAAAGTTATTAGTTTCTAAAAATCCTATTGTTTTTAATTATAACAGAATAAGAAAATTGTTTAGAAATAAACTGTTATTGAATATTTGAATATCCAATATTGTCAAGAATTTTACTATAAACACTAATAAAAACTGTTCGACTGTCGATTTTTTGATTTTTTAGTAAGAAAAACTCATAATGAATCATGTATTAATATTAAGCATTGTTAAAATAAGGTATTTATAAATTTACAATTACAAAATAATTTACACATTTTAGTGAAAGAATAAAAAAAAAAATTAAATTACCCACTTTAAAATTTAAAAAATACATATAACTATTTACAACATATTATAACAAATATAATGAATATAAATGTACAAAATTATTGTGAAAAAAAAATTATACAAATTTAAGATGATAATGTAGCAAATGTTTTTTTAAAACTGAATTTTCAATTTTATAGCTACATTAACTATTTAAAATATTATATTTATCATAAAAATATTCTATATCATTTTTGTTCTTCTGTAAAAATGATTTTAACCTCTTGGTATGCAGAACTAAAAATTATATTACATTATAAAAAACGATATGGCAAAATACCTTTTTCATATCTTTTGGTTGCACRATTGAATACTTAGAAAACTTAATACGTGGTACAGATTCATTAGATGGGGACGCAACAGAAGTGATAGTGTTATTGCCATTATCATTATTAACAACAGTTTCTGAAAGTTCTTGTATAACACATTATGTCATTTTTTCGAAGTAGACTTGTTATCAACTTTGTAAGTTGGAATTTGTGACTTAGGAACTTTTGAATGCTTTTCCCAAGCCTCTGAAAAAAAATAGAATTTTATATTGAGAATTCATCACTATTTTTCATTTATATCTAGTTACTTAATAAAAAATTGTTATAATATATTAAACAATTGAGTAAAATAACAATCTTTATAAAACTAAAATTTTAATGTGAAATTTGTCAATACATAAAAACTGATTAACATACCCATTATATGTGATACCATATTGTAATCCATTAAATATGGATTGCACAAATCAAATTGTTGGTATTTTTTATGTTTGAAGTCTTTTAAACCAATTTTTTCACTAAGAAGTATATCATTTATCCATTGAGCATTAACCACTGGTAATTTTAAAGCTAAAGCTTTTTTTATCATTTCACCTTTTAACCTACAATAACAAATGAAAGTAAATTTAATTATTTGAAAAATATTTAACAATTTTTATTAAATATTACAGTAAAGACAATTTATAATTATACAACATGGTGGAAACCATTATAACAATTGTTCACAACCTTTTTAAGACTACTGTCATTACCATTAAAATCAAAATATTTTATATTGCCTATTTTAATAAAATAAATGCAAAGCTGGGCAAGTTAGTCATTTTTTTTTAACTAGTTGAAGTTAAGTTACTTTAGTAAAAAAACTAACTAAGTTAGAACATAAGTTAGTTTCTGAAACTGTCCAAATTTTTAACTTAGTTAGAAGTTAGTTTGGTGAAAATAGTAACTTAAGTTAGATTAGAAGTTAGAAGTTAGATTTTTTTTTAGATTAAAAAACGTTTGTGTTCAA